AAGGAGTAGACACTGTTTTGTTGTCTTCTTGCTTGCCATTTTTTGTTCCAGGGATGCACTGATGTGGCCCCCCCCCCAGGTGTGATGTGACATGAATTTTAAAACAAGCCTAATTTTTAAACCCCAAGGTGGGGTTGCTAGCAGCCATTCCTCTGGGTCTGGTCCACCCTGGCAAATTCTGACTCCACAGGAAAAGGAAAGTAGAAGTTTGCACACTCATGCCAAAGCTAACTTCTCTGAGAGGCAGCACTCCCACATAGACCCTTGGCTCACCTTTCCCAGAAGAGGCTTCCTCAGGGCTGCTCCTGCCCCTGAGGTTACAGCCTGGCTCCCAGGAGCCACTTACCTGCCCTACCCTCCAGTGATACCCTATCCTATAAACCCTTTCCTGACCCTCTGGTAAGGTCCCCCTCTCATGTCTCCCCACCAGGCCCAATGACAGGTCACTAGGAGGCATGGCTGGTCAGGAAAGGGACACTGCTATTCCCACCTTCCACCAATGTGTCCTGGTGTTGGGAGCAGGAGGACCAAAACCCATCAACAGCAGTGGCTGTTAAGTCTGTGTATCATTCTGTCTGTGCCTGGGGCCCTTTTGAATACTGCTTGGAAAAAAGAAACCTCTCGTTTTAGCCTTTTTTTCTTTTCTCTTCTTTTCTCTTCTTTTCTTTTCTTTTCTTTTCTTTTCTTTTCTTTTCAATTTTAATTAATTATTTATTTTTTTACCCAAGCTGCTAGGAAGGAGATGAGCCAGGTCTGTTTGCCCAGAAATACCATTGTAGATGCTTGGTTAGGTCAGATGTCATGGATGGCTGTATATTACAACTGTGGCTTCAAGCCATCAGCTCAATATCAGGCACATTTTTGCTCCTCACAGTCTCCCATCCCTTCCATTGTGTCTAGCAGTAGGCTCAGAGCTTGACCTCTGACAGCCTTCCTTGACGGCCGAGCCCCTCCATCCATCCCTCCTCTTGGGTTCTTTAGCCCCTGTGCTTCTGCTAGCTCAGGAATCCTGCACCTGTGGCCACAGCTGCTTGGTCGGTCCTGCCCTTGTTCCGGAGAGTCCCCTCCAGGGCTTCCCAGGTCAGTTCCAAGTAGAGTGAACACTCAGTCTGCAGTGCTTCCACCTGGTGTCAACGGCTCTGAGCTCGTGCTGGGAATCTAGAGAGCAGAAAACAGGCTCTTGCAGTGGAGGTGACCTCAACTACTGTCTTCCTCCTCACCCCTGCTGATGGTGCTCATCATCAGCTGTCGATTCCCAACCATAGCACCTTCTTCAGACACTGCAGGCATGGGCCCCTTAATCCATCAGAGTCTGCAGAGCTGTCCCAGGCAAAAGCCTCTGGTAAAGCTCCCTGGTAGCTGGAGTGGAGAGCTGCTGGTTCTGAGAACTGTGGATTCAAAGCATAACTCAGAGCCGATGCTGCTGATGAAAAGAGTAGAGGACCCCATCTGGTTGTGCTTTGGATATGGAGTGTCTCCTGAAGGTGTTGTCCCCAGTGACCAATCCAGTCGTTGAGATGTGATCAGATTGTAGTGGCTCTGGCTTCCTTTTGTTGTTGTTGATGGATTCATAATTCAATGGCATTTGGACCAGCTGATAGACACTCCCAGGGTTGGGTCCTCACTAGAAACAGATCACTACAGACGTGTCCTTGCAGTTGTTTCTTGTCCCAAGCCCTTTCTCTGTGTCTCTCCACTTCCTTGATGTCATGTGAACAGCTTTGCTCTACGTTGTACTCCCTGACATGATACTTTATCTTACTATGACCAGACACAATGGAGCCATGTGACCACAGACTAAATGCTTGGACACTGTGAGCCAAAGCAAATCCTTCCTTCCTTCCTTCCTTCATTCCTTCCTTCCTTCCTTCCTTCCTTCCTTCCTTCCTTCCTTCCTTCCTTCCTTCCTTCCTTCCGTATTTATGTAAAAGCATTTTGTTACAGCAATGAGAAACTGATAGAATGTACAGCCAGGTATGGGAACACGGCAGGTGTGTGTGTGTGTGTGTGTGTGTGTGTGTGTGTGTGTGTGTGTGTATGTGTGTGTGTGTGTAGGTAGGAAGGAAGGCAGAGAGGCTATAGATTCAGCACATGGTCTCAGGAACCCAGGAATGTTCAGGATACACTTTCTGATCACACAGCAAAGCATTACCCTGCAGAGAAAGACCTGGCAGGACTATGGGGTATGGCCCCTGTGCCAGGGCTAGGGCAGGGCAGTGACAATGAGGTTTGCCAAGGATGGAAGAATGGGGTTTCTATGTGGCTTATCAGGGCTCAGCTCCAGTGCAGGATGTGGAGGAGGCTTCCCAATCTACCTGGTGAATGGCAGAACTTTGGACTGGACGCATAATTTAGACTTGTTAGTGACACTGGGTTGGTGGCTCCATGCATGTGCTTAGGAGAGGTCATGCTCCTGCCTGTGTGTATGGAAGGGTGGATACTAACAGCAGACTATAAGCCAGCATCCAAGCTCCATCTGTGCATCACAGAAGAGACCCAGGACCTAGTTTGACCCCTTAGGCTGATCTCTTTGGGAAAAAAAGAATCCTTGGCTTTGGGCTCTCCAATAGGTCAAGAAAACTGATTTGTTTGACCATTATTTCGCAAAAGGCAAAGAGTGAGCTGAAGGAACATGAAGCCGTGCTGCCAGGGGCTGTAGAGAAGACAGTGTAGGCATACTGAAACTTTGGCAGGAACTTAGTCTTGAGATTTGTTTTTTCCACAGAAATGTATGCCAGAGTTTCTCCCTCTTGGAATAGGAGCTCAGGGTCTTCTTGGACATAAAACTGGTAGAAGACACTTCAAGAACAAACTGTAGTTCTCCCTGTGGCTTTCCTGTAGTTCTGTCCCTGTGGGAAAGAATATAGAAAGAATATCCTAATCAGGAATCACAAGACTTCTATATTCTTCTCTATTGCTGAGCTATCCATAACCAAGGCAACTTATCAAAGAAAGGTTTAATTGGGCTTATAGTTTCAGAGTATTAGAGTCCATGGTGGCAGACTGAAGGCATGGTAGCAGTAACAGCTCAGATCTCAAACTGAAAACAGGAGTCAGAGAGCCCATTGGGAAGAGCACTAGTCTTTTGAATCCTCAAAGCTTACCTCCAGTGACACACCTCCTCCAACAAGCTCTTGCTCCTTCCCAAATAGTTACACCAGCTGAGGTCCAAGTATTCAAACATATGATTTAACTAAATGGAATGCCTGCCAGCTAAATATTTGTAAGTTCAATTTTGGTAGGGCCCAGGGTCCAGGCCGTTAAGCCCCATATGAGGCACATGGATATATGCGGTGACGGTGGATGAAATGTGTGAGCTGAAGCCCTCATATAAAATGGAGATTTGATATTTAATACTGAGGATTATCCTTTGTGGTCTTTGCTGGAGTCTAGTCTAGAGGGCCTTGGCCAGAGCTGGCCTGGTGTGCTTTCAAGGCAGCAAATTGTGTTCTTACCTTGGGAGTCTGGGGCCAAGGATGGAGTGGCCAGTAAAGACAGGGCAGAGCCCAGGTGCTGGCCTGCAGCCTTGCCTTGTATCTCTTCAGAGCTGAGGAGAAAATTCCTATTGGAGCAAAGTGGACAGATAGAAGACAATTGGCCAGAAAGCCAAGCATGAGGCCACTTTCCCTATCTAGACCACCCACCCACAACTCCTTCTGTCATAGGCCAACACTGCGACTAATGCCCTTGAAGCTCTGTTATTAGAAAGGCCCTCTGTGGACTGTCCCTAAGACCTGTCCAGCCAAGGTAGAGTCTTGTCCAGGGAGGTGATCTCAAATTACCTGCTGCTCCTGTGGCATCTCTCCTTCCTTTGCAAGCTGGCATGGGGGTTCATGTGTGCGCATTTTAAATTTCGATCACAAATGTGCCTGTTGCCTTGTCTCCCTGTGTGTATTGCCCGTGTGCTTACCTCATTCCCATTCTCCACTCACTGCAATCTGATTTCTGGCTTCTACACAAAGCAGCCTCTGAAAGACAGGCCCCCAGCATCTGACTCAGGCATGCAACACAACCCCACAGTGTCCTGCAGAGGCTCTCAACAGTGAGCACCACCCAAGTCCAGTGAAACACAGCAAGAGTCCATGGGAGGCCTGAGCCTGGAGCCACATTGGTGTCACCTTCAGATTCTGTGTTTTTACTTCCCTATGCTGCTTCTGATGTCCCTTCTGGACAATAAGAAACAGAAACTCAAGCACACAAAATATCTCTATGTGTTAAGAACTTCTCAGGTGTTGTTAGGTTGTCCTATGACATGACAATCCCTCAAAGTGAACACCATTATCCTCATGTTGTACACTAGACACAGACAGGTAAAAGTCAGTGATTGACACGGACTTACACAGCAATGTGGCAGAACCTGGGACATCCTGACTTGGAGGCAGCATGTTCCGTGCTGGACTAAAGCATAGCAAAGCCAGAGCATGCCTCAAGACAGGAGGGCAACAAGGAGGGCGGTGTTACTCCCTCCTATGGCACTACCCACATGTGGGCCCTCCTTTTTCCTTTGCCCCCCATGGATCCTGGCTTGGCTCCCTGGCACCAGAGGAAGGATTCAGGTCTTGACAAGCTACCCTTTCTGAAGGGTTCAGGGTTCCAGACAAGACATTTTACATTGTTCCAAGTTACTCTGTACTATGTCACGTGTGACCAAGAGCAGCTTCGGGGGAATGGCTTATTTCAGCTCACAGATCACACTCCATCATGGAGGAAAGTTAGGACAGAAAATCAATCAGGGACTGGAAGTGGAGGCCATGGAGGAGCTCTGCTTGCTCACAGGCTCATCCTTAGCCAGCTTTCTTACACAGCCCAGGACCATCTGCCCAGGGAATATTGCTGCCCGCAGTGGCCTGGGCCCTCCTAATCAATTAATAATCAAGACACTCCCCTACGGACATTGCCCACTGGTTAGTTTGACCAAAGCAACTCTTCTCTAAGATGGCTCTGGGCTGTGTTAAATAGTCAAAGCTAACTAGGACTTATACCATCTTGTGTTTTTGCAGGAATCTGGCCATTGGAATTGGGATCCAGAATTTTCCAGAGGGCCTGGCTGTCAGCCTCCCTCTTCATGGAGCAGGCTTCTCTACCTGGAGAGCTTTCTGGTGAGCGTACCAGCCCATTGGGTCAGAAGAGAGTCATGTGGGCTATAAACTGCTCAGTGTGACCTCCCTTCTCTTGGCTCATGTTGGAAGCCAGTACAGGGCTTCCGGAAGAACACCACAAATGTGGGTGAATGTTGTACCCACAGTAGAGGCCTCCAAGAAACAGGCTCATCTCTTGACCTTTGACCTTTACACAACCAGCTTGAGTGACTATATCCCTTTTCAATGGCCTCTGCGGATAGCAAGCTGTGGCCATCAGCACTAGGTGCTTGCTTCCACCTTAATGCTTCTCTCACCATCACAATATCCTCAGCTGAGAATCATCTTGCCATCACCTGGTCCTGGAAATCATTGCATGAACTTTTCTCACACGTCTTCCACTTGGGACATGGGCCTCACACATCTCTTTGCTGAAACAATCCCTGGTTTACAACATACAGTTCCAGTGCTCATGCAGGTTGCTAATAGGGGCGGTTTAAAATGCCTTCCATTGTATAGGGCCCTGTGACTTGCAAGTTTGTACATGTACTTAAATGACCCTGTTTCCACCCTCTACAGATCTCTTTCTCCATTGTTAGAGTCCCTCAAATAGAGGATGTAGGAGAGAAGGGAAGTGGGTGGCCTTTGAGATTTTCATAACCTACCAAAGCCATAGCTGTCATTTCAAATAGTTGAGGCACCAGGAAGAGAGGAGGGCAGAGATGCAGAGATTTGCGGTCAGCACCAAGATAGGGAATTGAAGCTTTTTTTCTGTCTCTTAACCTCCAGTCTGGGCTAGATGTCAAAGCCACGTTTTCCAGAGAAAACAAGGCCACAGGCAGGGGTTGGATAGACCAAGGACCCTTCTGTCCTGCTGGTCTATTCATGAAAACACAAGGAGCTGGGACGCAGTATCTACTCTAAAATATTCCACAGCAAAACTAAGGTCTCTCCTCATGCCCACTTCTGCCTCTGTCCAGAATGGGGCTGGGATCTCCCAGTCCATACCACTTGCCCTCCTTTTCGGGGAGGCTGGCTGAGGGAAAGGTCCCTTACCCCCATGGTACAGATGGAAGGACTGATTCTCAGAGGCTGTGTATCTTAACAAGTGCCCAGTTCAAGAAGGGGACCCCAACTCATTGCCTGCCAGTATTGTATCCATAGCAGGAGGTTTTAGCATGTAGGGCCTGGCTTATTTCTTGCCCTTGCCATTCGCAATGCTCCTTTGATCAGAGAGTAATAGAACAAGCACCCATGTCTTTCTCTGGCCCCTCACACATGGGTGTACACACACACACACACTCCAAGCTTTTTTAAAAAGAGAAAGATACATGCTACAGCAAAGATTTACCTTAAAAGCATTATACTAGCTGAAATAAGCCCCCCCAACACACACACACACACACACACACACACACACAAAACCAGATATGATTCTGTATATAGGAAATATTCAGAGGCAGCAAACATATATACAGAAAAAACATGGAGCAATTCATGGTGATGGGCTGGGAGGAGGACGAAACGGGACATGGCTGCTACTGGCCATGGGCATCTTTCTCGGTGATAAAAATGTTGGAATTGATGGTGATGTTCACTTACCTTATAAATATACCAAAAACCACTGGCTGTACAGGAAATGTTACATGGGAAGGAAATTATGTCCCAATCAAACTGTCATTGCCAAAGACAATGTAGACAACTTAAAGATCCAAAGGAAATAAGGGTACAAAGCTACTGTAACTGCTTTATGGAGATTAGGCAAAGAGTGGCTGGTGCTTCTTAGAACATGGCCGAACAAGATGTCTGAGTTCTGGGGCTGGAACAGCAGTCTGGGCAACCTGCTTGGCTCTCCCAGCATTGGTCATTGTCTGTTTCCTCCTTAGGTATGGGCAGCTGAGCGGCATGGTGGAGCCGTTGGCTGGGGTCTTTGGAGCCTTTGCGGTGGTGCTGGCTGAGCCTGTCCTTCCCTATGCACTGGCCTTTGCCGCTGGTGCCATGGTCTACGTGGTCATGGATGACATCATCCCGGAAGCCCAGATCAGGTGGGGAGCTTATCCAGACTACTCACTGCTGCCCCAGCCTAATCTGAGACTACCCTCTTTTACCTTCCCTTCCTTTCTCTTTCCTTTGCTTATTTCCAAGCTCCCTCTGCCCTTGCCCACAGTTGTTCCTGTCCCTCCTCTGCGTGCAAAAACTAAAATGAAAAGGAGGAAGGTAACATCACACAGTGGCATAAAGTAGGGGCCCTCGGTGAAATAGACAGCCACCTTTAGACTCTGTCTCTGTCTGTCTGTATGTCTGACTTTCTCTTTCTTTCTCTTTCTCTCCTGTAATGAGGAGAATAGTGGCCTCAAAGATGCAAGAGATAGCCATAAATGTATGTTTCACTATCTTGCAATGGGCCAGGTGTCAAGAGGGATGGTGGGTAGGGGAGGAGGCCTGCACAGTTTCATTCCATTTTTTATAACAGAATAATTGTGAAGCCCATCTATTACATCAGTTAAGTGTCTTTAAGAAATAATAACAAGGGCTGGGGAGATGGCTCAGTGCTGTGCTTGCCACATAAGCGTAAGAGCCTGAGTTCAGTCTCCAGGACACGCATAATAAGCCAGACATGGTGGAGTAATCCCAGCTGGAGAGGGAGAGACAGGTGGAATCCTGGGTCCCCGTGGCTAGCCAGATTAGCCCAATCAGTGAGTCCTAAGCTAGTAAGAGACCCTGTCACAAAAAAGTAGACAGTGTGGGAGAAGGAATGACACCCAAGACTTAGCTCTAACCTCCACATACACACGTGCACCTGTGCCCATGCCTATATGTGCCTATTCCCTTGCCCCCAACACACGAAGAAAACATAAGAAACAGTCACAACTTTGTAGAAGGTGTGTGTGTATCCGTGGAGGCCAGAAGTCAGACCCCTGGAACTGTAATCATAAGCAATTGTGAAGGGCCTGATGTGGATGCTAGAACAGAATTCTGGTCCTCTGCATGAGCGGCAAGCCCTCTTAACTGCTGAGCCATCTCCCCAGCCCTCCTGGTCACTACCTTTTGTTTATTCAGGCATGGAACTGGAGAGTCCTGGTCAAATGATTTACCTGTGCTGCAGCTTGCACGAAGAATCACAGGAAATAATGAGACCAGCCTGATGAGGGCATCGCCTGGGGTTAGGAGTGAGCGTTCACTTGGCATATGATACCCACCTGTCAGGGTCGCCACTGATGGTAGAATGCTTTCTGTTGTAGTTGGCGCCAGCAGCCTAGACAAGGTCCTAGGAAGCTCTGGTTAACTCTCACCTTCTTCCTCTGTTTCCTTCCCAGTGGCAATGGGAAGCTGGCATCCTGGGCCTCCATTCTGGGCTTCGTGGTGATGATGTCACTGGATGTGGGCCTCGGTTAACTCTGAAAACTGTGGGACCCCCACGAAGGAAAGCGCCTGGCTTCTGCAGGACCATGGGCCTCTTTCTTCATGTTAAAAATCTTGTTCTTCTCTCCCCACCATCTCCTTACCTAGATCACCTCTGATTATGTTTTGACTTTTCATTTTATTTTGGAGGGGGAAGCTGATTTCCATTGTAATCTCAAGATGTCATAAAACTGTAGATGTATGTTTGGGCCACTGAGTGGAAGGAATCTTTCCTCAGTGGGATTGTCAAGGTAACCGCTACTTGTCCCGCCTCCAGTCTCCCTCCTTAGACTCAACTTCAGCTTCTCGGGATTACCTTCAGAAGTCAGCTCTTGAGGCGCAAGTCCTGAGCATGTTGGCCGAGGGTTTTAGAGCAGGTGGCCAGGGCCCCTCGTGCTCCTTCACCATGGACCCTCTGTCCACCTAGAATGCCAGGACAGGAGCATTGTGAACACAGAAGCCTGATGTCCAACGCTGAGCCAGCTCACACAGGGTCTGCTTCCTCCTGGGAGATATGCATGGGAGGGCCCACACATGGAGAGAAGGAAGTCAGCTAGTCTCTCTCTCTTGTCCTAAGGCAAAGATTGGCATTACTGAAGTCAGAGAAATTTGGATGTCAGGGTGACCCAGTGCTCTGTGAAAAGCGGTGTGAGTATGGTTTTAAGCTGAGGCTGCTGTTCTTTGTAGCTGACAAGAGCAGAGCACTCAGCCATGGCTCCTAGATCTCCTAGCTATTAATCTTGTTGTGTTTACAGCCTTTGTTTTCCTGAGAGACTTGTGGACACCAGCAGATTGCAACTGCTCAGTCCCCTCATTTATCAAAAGAGTTACTTAAGTTAACTCTAGTGATTGAGTGACATTTGGAGTCTGTCAAGGCTCCTTCTCTGCTAGCCATTTGGAAACTTACAACCCCACCCAAAGCCCCTGATCTGCAGCAGGCTTTGTTTGCATCTGGCCAGAGGGCTTTGAATGGGAAAAGGAAAGAGGGCAGGAAGAGGTGTTTTTTTACATTTATTTTCTCAGAAAACTTAACATTCCGAGATGATCCTGAAAATGACTGGATGTAGATTTTATGCTAACCTACTCCATCATCAGTTCTCCCAAAAGAGCTGAGGCCTGAGCCCTTCATGGTCAGAGGAGTGTGTGGGACTTAGAGCGGGCTCTACCTGGGAGCCAGGTATCCAGGCACTGGGTTTTCTGTATCTGCTCTGTGTGTTTACATGCTCCATCCCACCAAGGGTGAATATCGTAGTCTGTGAATGCTCAAGATCCCAAAGGCCAACCTCAGCAGGATGTGTGTCCATTCTTCTAAAGCACTGGTGATCAAAATCAAAGACACATGCAGAAATTTGATTGGTTGGGGTTAGCCGGTTTGGTGATTGGCACTTAGGTCTCTGTGTGTAGTTCTGTTCTCTTACTACAATTCATCCTTTCTGCTGGATAAGACCTCGTAACTGTGATTAATATCAATAAAGGGAATTTTGTTGTGCACAAGCTGTGTTACATTCAGTCCTCGGCACCTCTGCCTTCCAGAGCTGGTGGTTAGGCTTTAATTTTTTTAAACCTACTCTATTTGGGGTTCTTTAAGCATCTACCTCCCTTCCAACCCCCAACCTTAGATAGGAGAGGAGAAAAGATAAGTATGGACAGGGGATATAGAGCTCTTTAGATGTAGTTCCATTGGGCAATTCAACTCTTTGTCCTTAGGATATCTAGCCGTCCAGCAAACTAGAAGCAACAGCAAACACAGCAGCGAAGTGAATCAGCAAACCAGCAATCCAGCAATAGCAAAAGTAGCAACTAGGAGTACCAGCAGCAAGGGCAGTAGCAACCTCTTTGAAGCATTCTCGAGAGCATTTCTCTCTAGGAGCATCTCAAAGTGAAGCATCCTCTCTTTCTCAGAGTTTATACCTTCTCAGAGTCCGCACCATGATGTTTTTCAGCTGGCAAAAACCACAACCCATGCACGAGGTAGTTTCTAGCTGACAAGGATCAGTTGCCCTCTGATGAGGCTGTTATCAGTTGTGGATTTCTGCATTCCATACTAGGGATTACAACAAAAACGTATTTACATGATATAACAAAATCGTCCACTACACTGGTGAGGTACCTCTCCCACCCAGCACTAGCAGAAATGAAGAGATCTTGAAGCAGAATGACTGGTCAGCTCGTCGGCTCCAGCTCACTTAACAAAGGAGATTAATTGGTGGATGTTAAGGAGCTCGAAGGATCTAGTGGAGAATGGATCTAGTGGGCTTGGAAGTAGGGTGGATCTAAGCTGGTTAGCGATCTGGGCTGTAAGCCTGATAGCGTTTAGAAAAATGCTCCAACATATGCCATCCCCCTGATGCTGGCGACATAATTCTGGGCACCTCTGCTGAAGCTCCTGCTTCCCCATGCCTCCACCAGCATCGAGAGAATTAGGTTGTACTGGCCTAATCCTTAATGTTTTGGTGCATCCTTCAAGGTCAGGGCCAGGAGAGCTAGGACATGGAGCAGATGTTTTCATCTGATCTTCACATACATGTACAAACAGATCCACCCATGTGTGCCACACACATACACAAGTGCACCTGTACCCAAACGTAGTGTGCGTGCACACACACACACACACACACACACACACACAAACATCCATCTAGAACTTTGATCCTGTGCCCATGAACTGGCTGGTCTTACCCTTGACCAGGAATCACGTAACAGTAGAATTTCTAGATTTGGGGATGGGTTCAAATGGTAGAGAGCCACAGGAAGAGACAAGGTTCACTCAGGGCATCTCAGACTGCTTTACTGTAACTCTGTTTTCACATTTTGCAAAGGTCATTGGCTTCAAAGTTGTTGTCATTCCTCATAAGAGCAAACTTCACTCACCCCCTTCACGAAAGGAGGTAGCCGAGTGCTGTGACAGTCCCTATCCTAAAAGTGTCTATGTTAGAATCCATTTTGATATATACACTTTCTCTCAAACTTTATATAAATAAAAAAATTTAAATCCTAAAATTATGTTGGTTTCTAATTCTCGTTCTTCTTGGTTTGTATTTGTCACAGTCTGTCGCATTGGCTTAGAGATGGTTTGAGGGTGTGCTCCAAGGGTTTCTGTGTTGAAAGTTTGATCCCCAATGTAGTAATGTCACAGGTTGAGAGATGGAGTTTAGCTGGAGGTCATAGGTCAGAGAGAACCATGCTGCAGTCCAGGTTAGTTCTTGAAAATGGCCCTTCCTGTCCTACAGTGTGACCTCTCTCCTTCCCAAATGGTACCATTGACGTTGAAAACTTGTGTCATAGTTTCTGTCAACTTGACACAAACGACACCAAAAGATGTATTTGGGAAAAGATAATTCAAGTGATGAATTATCCACCAGACTGCTGGGCATGTCCGTGGGGGAATTTCTTTATTAATCATCAATGAGTGAGGTCTCAGCCGACTGTATGCAGTGTCACCTCTAGCCATGTTGTTCTGGGTTTTATAAGGGAGCAAACTGAACAAGCCATGAAGAACAAGCCAGTAAGCAGCATTCCTTTGCTTTAGTTCCTGCCCCCAGGTGCCTACTTATGTTTCTGCCTTGACTTCCCTCAATAATGGAAGAGTAAGCCAAATAAATCCCTTCCTCCTCAAGTTGCTTTTGGTTGTTTTTATCAGCAACAGAGAAGCAAACTAATAAAGACCATCACCAGAGTTTTACTGGCAAGATCTACCCAGTTGTGGATTTTCAGCCTCCAAAACTATATACTAAGTAAACTCTTTTCTTTATATGGACCTTAGCCTCGGGTACTTTGTTATAGCAATGGGAAAAAAACCAAAACTCTTTCTTCTGAAGCAAACCAGGCTATGACTCCATCACTTGCAGATTACTAAGGAATTACTTCTGGCAAGATTCCGTCAGCAAAGGAGACAAGGGAGTGATGGTGTCTTTATGAAGTGCTTCAGAAGGCAGAAGAAGCAGTTCTTGGGCAGAGAGGAGGCTCTTTGAAGATCTACCATCCAGAGAATTTCCAGTTTTACACATCCTCCTGTTTGACTCCTTTCTGATTCTATCTGCCCAACTCCTCCTTGGATAATGTTTCAGTTCTCTCTAGAAAGCGTGAGACTTTACCAGCTCACTCTCAAGTGTCACCTTTGTTTTTCTGTGTTCTTGATCACATGGGCAAGAGGTAAGGAGCTGCTGAAGGACCATCCTAAGGCTGGGGGCAGCGGTGGTGGAGTCAATAGTTGCTGCATTATCACGAGGTCCTGAGTTCAGATCCCCAGCACCCATATAAAAACCAGACAAGGCAATGTGGTAGTCATTGTGGATGACCTCAGTGCTGGGTGGGGGACCCTGGATATAGGCAAATCCCCAAGGCTCAGTGGCCAACCACTTTAACACGTTGGGTTTGGCATGCTCCAGGTTCAGTGAGAGACCTGATTAAACAAGGCAAAGAGGACACCTGACAGTAACCTCTGGCTTCCACATGCACACTCAGGGGCCAGCACGTCTGTGCATGCATGCACACACATATACTTAAACACACAGCCAGAGAGAGAGAGAACCATCATAGGTAGACATCCCTCAGTCTCCAACTCCTCCCTGTGCTCATGACTTCAGAGCTATCCATTGTAGTTCCTGGCAGTGCTTACAGATTGCTGGCAAAGCATCATGCCCTTGTCTGTTTGGTGATAGGCTCACCCTGTTCCCTCCAGGGGGTGCCACTGATGGAACCTCATCCATGTGACTGTGTGTCACATATGGGGTGGGGTTGATAATAGCTTTGGCTCTTCCCTAGGATCTTCACAGAAGGTAGTCTCACCCTGTCATGCTGAGGGCGCGGGGAGGAGAGCAAAGGTCCGTGAGAAGATTGTGTGACACTGTTGATCCAGATAGGACACTGCCTCTAATCCCCTGAGCTGTTTACCATTGATCAACTTCACCCAGGAGAAAGGTGAGCTGCAGGATGTGATAGTGACAAAGGCAGGGCCAAGCAGGCGCAGGGTGGTTTTTCATGGAAGCAGCCAAATGCAGGACCTGACTTCCTGTCCCTCTTTCATGCTCCTGAAGCCACTTGAAGGTTAAGTTTTGATTGTCAAGATGACTGGATTAAAAGAGAACTCCTAGTGCAGCACTCGAATGACCTTTTTAAGGGGTCACCTAACAGCACCAGAAAGCACAGGTGCAATTCATAGCAACAGCAAAATTACAGTTATGAAGAAGCAATGAAAATAATGTTATGGTTGGGATCACCGAAACGTGAGGAACTGTATTAAAGGGCTGCAGCATTAGGAAGGTTGAGAACCACTTCACTAGTTGTGAAGTTCACAAGTTGTGTGAGACACAACTTTGGGTGTGTCTGTGACGGGGTCCAAGATCTAATAAAAGTGATGGAAAGGACAAAAGCAGCTGAGTGCCAGCAGGCCTTTTTAAATGCCTCCCAGTGGGCCAAATGTGAGGAGTCCCAGTCACATCTAGTGCCACCATATTGAACCTTGCATGTCTTTTCTACCAGGCCTTGACAGATGCTACCCTCTCAAGCAAAGAGCCCAAACAAGTCCTTTCTTTCCCACATTGCTTCTTGCCACGTGTTTGGCCATAAGGAGAGGAGAAGGATAAGTACCATGGGCCAGTTCCTGCAGATCTCACTTCTGGAGGGGAGTGGCTTTCCCTTTCCTCGTATAGGGAGGTGTGCTACCCATGTAACAAAGACACAGAAGTTGAGAGTGTATTACACACTCCTATGGATTTTACCTATGTATCCCAGTGACACTCCCTGCCTGGGGTTGGGGAAGGTCATCCCGAGTCACAGGCACCCTGGTTCCTGAGATCTGGGGTCTCCTCCTTCTGACAAAAGGTTCTGGGTGGACCCAGTCAGTCTTCCAGTGTGCTCAGACTCTACCCTACTCACCTCAGTCCAGGTGGTTCGCACTGCCTGCACTTACACTAGTTCCTGGCATGGCTGTGATGCCTTATATGTTAATTGACCCAGAGATGGAAATCTGACATAAGTGGGGGCTATGCAAACAGAATGAGCTCGTTGGCCAAGGTTTGGGTTCTTCTTGTCACTGTGAAAGTAAGGGTGTCAGGAATGCACCCCACCTCTGACACTGGCCTTTCGGGGAAAGGGCGCAATGCACACTTGTGTTTGCAGCCTGCCTGTCTTCCAGCGAGTCCTGGAGGGTGCCCCATGGAAAAGCACAATGAACTAATGTAAGATTAACACAGATATGTAAATTTTTCAAAGAATTTCTTCAATGGGAAGCTGCACCCTTACTCCCTTTTCAGCAAACTTGAGTCCTGAACTGAATGTGTGAAATTATGGGACGTGAAAAGGTTTTGTTTCCTACTATACCCATAGCACAAGTTGGACAGAAAAGCAGACTTCTCTTAAATAAATGCTATATGAATTTGTAGATGGCATATATATGAACATCAGTCATATTTGTTAATTTTCTGAAACATGGTCTATTTCTGGGTGACAAAGTACCACAAATTGGATCTATTAAAGGGTCTCACACCACTGTG